TTTTTTTCACTTCGTACAATTTGAATTTATTTATGGGGCAAAATAAACATTTCAAATAAGAAAATACTTATTTTCATTTTTTGCCCTATGTCACATTCGCACGTGCCTGGGACCGACCACATGTCTCACAAACATTGTAAATGTGTCAGTTTGCCAAAAAGACCTTTATACTCCCAATAAATCAAATTAGATGCCAATTATTAAGGGTAAAATGGACTTTCCAAATAGCTGACTCATTCCAAAGTCTCCCTCGCCTCTAAACATTACATGTTCCTCAGCTCAGAACGTCGCTTATATAACATCTCTGAAATCTCCGAATCAAAGAACCTCATTCCATGCCCGAATCCAAGAATCCATCCACTGTCTGAACAACCAACGCCCCCGTCGGCTCTTATAAAACCACACAGTCTGAATCTGCGTTTCACAGAATTTTTTCATCCTAAATCTAATCATTTCTTCACCAGACCCATGAAGAAATTCAGAGGCTTTAAGCTCGGACGCAAGCTCCTCACGGTCTTCACATGGATAGTCCGACCCAGAAGAAGGCAGAACAACTTCCATCTCTTGGACCCTTCGTCCCGAACCCATAACCCCGTTTCAAAAATCTGCTCTTTTGCACGGTTTCTCCGTCGCGGAGCTAAGGGACTGTGTGGATCGAATTCCGGTACGGGCTATATCCAATTGGGCCAGGAAGGAGGGAAACGGGTTGGGGTTCCGAAGGGGCATCTGGCGGTGTACGTTGGCGAATCAGGAGGTGACACGAGGAGGATGGTGGTGCCGGTGATATATTTTAATCACCCGTTGTTCGGAGAGCTGTTGAAGGAAGCGGAGCAAGTGTACGGGTTCAATCATTCCGGTGGGATTACGATACCCTGTGGAGTGTCGGAGTTTGAGAAGGTTCGGATGAGGATTGCCGCCTGGGATCATTGCCGACGGAGGCAGCACCGTTGACAATGGTTATGATTTTTTTTTTTTTTTTTTGAGAAGATAAAGTTAAGAGGCCACACCACGACACAAAGTTTGTGAATATATCCTGCCCATGGCCTCTGATTTTTGTTTCCAATTTAGCCTTTTCTTCGTAGTTTCCACAACTTTGCTGATATTTATTGCTTTTGTTATTTTCGACACTACCTAATTTTGTGGTTACTATATTTTAGGGAAATATGGATGGACCATTACACACAAAATCCATATTCAAGGGAAATATAAAAGCAAAATAAAATATCGAGGATAATAACAAATTAAAATATAAGAAAGTAAGTGGAAGTTTTTACTAATTCTTTTAAAATATATATTTTTCATTCAAAGATTAGATGTATCAATAAAGTTGTTCTATAAATTAGATTTATAATTTAAAATATTAGTTTTAACATTTAAAAAATTAATTTTTATAAATACATCAAGTTAATGTGATGCTATATTTTTAAAATTGTTTTAAAAAATATTAATTTCAAAATAAGTAAAAAAATGGGCCGAAAACACTTAACAGTCAAAAAAGAAAAGAAAAGAAAAACAAAGAGAAATGTCAGTAGGAAAATAAACGAATGATGACCGATGACCTATCCAATTGGTGGGTGAAGAAAAAAAAAAATGAAGTAAAACGGCTAAACAAAAATGAAAATCAATTAATAGTAAAAAATTACACAGGATTATGAAACGGGGTGAGTAATAGTAATTGTTAAAGAAAAAGCAATAACTTCAGAATTGTAGACAAACCTTTTCAATGGTATAGTTTGTACTAAGTAATATGGTATTAACTTATATATAGAAAGTTCATGAAAAAAACATATATAGAAAGAGCTAACTGGAAACAT